TACCCACTTATTTTAATAGCCCGTTTTATCTAGAACATCAAAGAGGAGGATGTGGAAAGACTTTGGAAGTATCTCGTATTGACTGCTCGGATGGAATTGCCCTGATTTAGCAGCTCTGAGCAGTCAGACTGGCTCTGATTGCATTCACACCTCATGCAAGACCCACAAGCCGGGGACCCTTTCTCCAGCCAAGACTATAATTCAGATGGGTAGCACATCACCGTTCAGCAAGTTGCTCTGCAAACAGAGGCTATCTATGAAGGGTTCCCACATTTCTCAACCTTAGGCATCTAACGTGGCTGGTTTAGTTGGACCACCTCCACAGAATGGCAATTATGAGTTAGAGATAGAAAATGAAACTGGCTCCTCCAAAGGCTCCCTCAGAAACTTTCTTCTCCAAATCATTCTTATTACTTGATTAAATGTATTTGGGACCCACAAAGTCACAAACTTAACATATGTATATACCCTCCTAAATAAAGAACTGAAAGTAACTATGATGTCTAATTGTAGGTGAAAATATAGACACTGAGTTAAACTGTATATAGATTTTTTTTTTCAGACCTCCAGTATGACTGGAGAAAAAAAGCATTGTCATGAAATGAGTGTCAGAAAGTACTCTGTAATAAAAAAATAGCACCCTTGAAAAGTCTATTTTTAAGCTACGAAAATGGCAGGTGACTCCTCCTGCCAAGAGGTTAATAAATCTTTAACAGTACTATTATTGTTATTGTTGTTATTTCTACATTGTGGACAACAGTGTTTTATTTTACTTTATGAGATACCAATTTAGAGAGAAAACATACGTAGCACATTCAGAGCCTCTCAATTATGTTATTCAGTTTAAACGAAAAGAAGATGCTGGGTTTTGAGACTAGCACTTTCAGAATGTTTTAATAATATTTTTACTACATTTTTAAGGCGTTTTTCTTAAGTATTTTATTTGTGTTCAGTATTCAATCTGAGCACTGGTCTACAAAAGCACACACGATTTAAACTCAGATTCCTACTCACTATTTACTGATGAGTCAATAATCCATTTTAGTAATGGAACACATAAATTACATTAAAAATTCTATAATCATCAGCGAGGAGACTCAACTACATTCAGCCCTTGGGTACATCTTTTACTCTCTCTAAACCAATGACATGTCTGACTTCATATACCTTCCAGTCCACTCTGACTCATGCATTCATAGAGCTTCACTTCATGAAATACGCCTTTAATTTTAACACCACAACCCAAGGCTTTTAAGCATGCTATTTTCAGCTAATTTCCTAGAAATCTTTACAAGCATTGGAACTAACCTTGTAGTTCTGCAGTCACCTGGCATTTCTAAACCATTAGCCCTCCTAAAGGTAACTGGCAGCTCAATAATTTTGATATCGATATACTGATTACATAATTTTCACATTGCCATGGATGTAAACTATCCTATTTTGTACTTTTTTCCCTTTGTTTTATTACTATATAGGCTGCATCTACAATTTCAGATTATCAGGTTTATTATTATTAATGTCTACAAATAATCCTCTTTGAGCCTCTGTAGTCCTTTAGCAAATCTAGAACTGCAGATATGAAAAATAGAATCACTTACTGGTATCCAGTATTTTCCCAGATGAATTAGTTATATCTCTATTTTAATTCTGAGCAGACTATAGCATTGGCATTTGACATCAAGATATCCTTAGCCTAAATCTATCTGTGCCCAACTGTCAAGCATCCCGTACTCCATTCATATAAAGAATAATGCTATGGAAGAAGCTGGGAGACCTGATGAACTCCTTTTGCCATAATCTTCCTCTTTCCCTCTCCCAGCTCTGCAAAACTAAGCATCACTGATTGGAGGCAAAACTAGACTCAAATAACTTCTTTTATAAGAAAGGTCAAAAGAAGTCCTTTTTTTTTAGAGGTGGAAGCATAAATTTTGAAGACTTAGAGTCACTTTAATTAGTAAAAGGAGTCGGAAAGTCCTCCTCTTCGTCATGAAATGCGCCCACTGAAAGGCAAGTTTTTGACTTGCATCTTCGCTGTGAATAGACAGTAAGAGGATAAAGCAGTTGTCTCACCCTGCCATGACCACCATACCTAAACTGAGAAGCCATCAGCACGTGATCAGGTGAAGATTCTCTCACCGAATTAAGCTTTCAGTGGCAAGGATCAAAAAAGTTCTCTTCTTGATAGAGGAAAAAAAAATATTCAATGTCATTTTTGTATTCTAGAGCTTAGTAATTGGGGAACCTGAATGAAATAAATCTGTGAATTCTCCCATCGAATCCCCAGTCACAAGGCTTTTGTCTCTTGCTTTCTTAAGGTGCCTGGCATTTCCTTCACTTGCAATAGCCATTGAAATCTGGCATTTCAGAGGTGTTATTATGAACCTCTGATAGTACTCAGGTTTCTCCTTTCTGGTGGTTTGTTGTTTTTATTATTATTATTATTATTATTCCTTCTCCAAAACGAGTGACTCATCTGCACTGGTTTTGAATTCTCCAATGGTTTATCCTCTAATTGTCTATGTTCTCTTTGAATAAACTTAGCTATCTCAGTTTGACCAATTTTCTTCTCTAGTTCAACCTCAGAATAAACAGTGACACTACTCTGTATCTTAATATATTCAGCTTTTTATTTAATTTGGTCTGCCTACACTTTAATTTAACTGTATATATTGCTTAATTCCCTGAAGTACTTGAAATTCGGACTGTTATTAAATTGTGGTCAGTACTACTCTGTTAAACAGTCACTTCATTTCACCATAATGCTTACGCAAAATAGAATATAAAGCACTATTCCATCTAGTTACAAAACGAGCCAGTCCTTCCATTTCTGAATTGCTTCAGCATAATAGTCAACATTTAATGAAAATCCTACTTAATATTATTCTTCCTAGTCTAATTGCTGAGCCACTTTCTTCAGCTTTTCAAAAAATACTTCATTATTCTTATTTTGAGGTCAGTACATTTTCCCTATAGAACTACTTTTCTTCTAGTTCTTCAGTGGCCTTCTGTACTGACTCTATATTTCAACTATTCAAACAGTTCTTGTCCTTCTGTTCTAACTGACAGTCATTTGCCATAATGCACTACATCTTTATTTTTCAATATTATGAAAACAGGAAAACATTAATTGACAATACTATTGCTTACGGTTAATACTGCATGGTCAAAGCTTAATTTGCTTTAATCTACCATCTCACCAAGTTGATAATCCTTGTAATAGGTAAATCCACTTTAGTGATAACACTCATAGCTTCATGACCATATTAACCATAGCTGGATTTACTAAATGAGCATTCCTCACCTTCCCCATACCAGCACCACGCAAATAAACTTGTCTAAGGCACGCTGGAGCAGCTGTAGAATCCCTCCCACTTAAAGCAGTGCTGCAGCAGGCCTTGAGAGTGACTTTTTATTATAGACAACCAGTGTTGCATATACCCTTCTTCCACTCTCAGAGAACCAGATTATCTTCGGAGCTCCATTACACAGAGTCATCATAAAGTATCCCAAGTTGGAAGGGACCCATAAGGATCATCAAGTTGATCTTCTGGCTCTATGCAGGACCACTCAAAAATCAGACCAAGTATCTGAGAGTGTAGGAGGTGGGAAGTGCCTTAATGCACCAGAGCTGCAGAGGTATCTTTAGTAGCTCCAGAGCTGGAAGATGGAGAGCATCGCTGGGAAGAGATGCCAGCAAACTCATTACCAGCCTGCACAGCTCTAGAGTGGTTTAGTACTCTTTTAATAGTGATTTAGTATTTTTGCCTTTCAGCTGGCAAGAGGCTCTGGTTTAGGGACATTGAGGGGGACACACAACCTTACAGTCAAGGTCAGTCCTGAAAATGGCCTTCATTCAGCCAGAGTTTTGTGAATGCCCTTCCTTAATGCTCAGTCAACTACATTATGCATTAACAATACAAATATAAAGCTTTTTATCTTTGAATTAAAGCTTTTAAACACCAATTCTCCCAAGGCTGCTGAAACTCTAGAGAAAGAAACAGAGCCTGACTCAGGGGTATACAGTGCCGACAGCTGGGGTAGAGAAATGAGGACTGTTGGGTCCTACATTCAGAGCAGAGGTACCCTATGACTCTATGTTACTTCCCACCGACCAAATTTTGAGTTAATGAGTATGCTATGTGGTTCATTCTTCCCAAAATAAATAAAATACCAAAAGTCACTGATCACCAGCTCCCAGCAAGGTACACTGGTCTGGTTGCTTACTTGAGAATATCATTTAAGGTTATCAGATGTGAGCTAATGTCCACTGCAGTCACTGGCAATTGTCTTGTGTTTATGAGGGTTTTATAGCAAGCCCAGCTAATTGTTGGGTTCCCTGTTTACATTCTGAAGTTTATTTACATGAAATGTGTTTCTGTTTCTTTTTGTTCTTCTTTTTTTTTTTTTAATGTTAATAAATGAGCTCAGTGAACCTATTTCATTGTAACTCAACATCTAGCAGACTGTAGAGTATTAAAAATTGCTTTGGCCTAGAAAACAAGTCTTTTGATAATAAACATCAGAGCACCAGATACTGTAGGATGGTTCAACCCAGATAATGAGGTAAGACCCTAATAGCATGAGATTTTCTTAAAAAAATGCTCCTGGGATTTTTCAGTGTAATAAATGCTCAGCCTTGCTGTTGGATTTTTAAGACTTTCAATTCAAAGTTCCAAGTTTTGCCATAAGATGCTACAGCTACAAATGATCTTAAAGGAACAGCGTGCAGAAGAGACCTACAAACAGAGCTCAAATTTTGGAGATACTTTAAAGCTGTGAAAATCATTGGTGAGGTGACAAGGTGCTTGTTCTGCATTAGGAAAGCACTGGGAAACTTTCAGCATGAACTGTGAAGGCACAACTGAAAACACAACCCAATCTTTCCAAACCACATCAATGTAGTGAAGATGGAGTAATCACAGTCACATCTGTTGTACCAATCAATACAGACCAACGTGATAACAGATAAATAAATTAACAAGGTAAAGAAAAGAATTTACCTGGATCATTAAGAAATTCCTCTGAGTTGTTCCATGTCCTGCCATCCAAGTACAACGTGCCATTGGTGAAGTTAAACTGGGTGTAGTCCCTCACACACTTGTGTCGCAAGTTGCCCATAAAGAGCTGGAGGCCTATGAGGGCAAAGACACTCAAGCAGAAAACGGTCAGGATCATCACATCAGCAAGTTTCTTAACAGACTGGATTAGTGCACCTACAATGGTCTTCAGTCCTAGGGAGATAAAAGCCAAGAGTTTATGGATTGAGACGCTGAAAGATATGTGCAGTTTTCTGATGAAAGTCTGGATAGAAGGGAAGATTGGAAGGGTTTCTATTATTGCTTTGACATTGCTTTGACAATGGAAACAGGAGACAAGTGATCACCATGAACATTCAGTTTGGCCTACTACCGTCTGGACAAAAGTCTTGGTGTTGCTCTTACACACACACTTATTTAAAAATGAATGGAAAGAACTGGATGGAGGAACAATGAGAAACAAAAATAATCATGGTTAAAGAAAATACAGGAAGTCTTTTATATATTCACGGTGCTGCAGTAAAGACTGTAAAGCCTAAATCCCACTGACTTTTCGAGAATATTAATTACTTTTAACCACTGAGGTGACTGATAACTTTATCTCTCACTTAAACAGATAAAGAGATATGGAAATGTTATTTGTTGCCTGATTATTTAACATTTTTTAGTGCCAAATCCTGATCGCTGTTCTCACATGAGTAATTCCTCTCCCTTCAATTCATTTGCTTAAGACAACAAAAATTTGGGATTAGAAGAAAACCAAATAATATGGACAACCAAGTAAATCCAATGGAAACTGTGTAAAATAACCTGAGATTCCAGTAATACCTGGGCAAAGTTAATTTTATAATACGCTAATGGAGATAAATCATCTTATTATAATCACCAGAGGTTTTAGTAACACAAACTGTCTTCTGTTTCAGTGTTATTTCATCCTATAACACTAGATTCATATTATTATCCTGTAAGTATATAGATATAAGTAATTATACTGTTTTCCCAAAGGGTATTGTTTGCTTGTTAAGAAGATCAGCACTATCTGAGCTGGCTGAACAAGACATCAATACAACAAAACCCACTCTATAAACCCTTCTGTAGAGTGTCTCCTGTACTTGGACATTAATACCAACTGCTCAATGGTAGCAGATTTGTTGTTTCTTTACTACTTGTATTTAATCAATACTCAATAAGTAGTAATCAGTGCTTCTGATAGTCAGTGTTACTAGTATGACAGCAGTAAAAGAAATTGAGTTAAATGGAAAATATAGAAAATGCAAAGAGGAAACATGAGGAATTCTCCTGGGCAATTCTCAGAAACATGTAGAATTGCTCACTGAATATGAACATACGCATTAAATCTCAGTTCCCTGGAATTCCACCCCAAGAGTTTGGCAGTAATGAAGGCTGAGTTAGTGCTGTATAATTTAAAATAATGTAAAAAACGTACTTAAGGGTATGTAGGAAGGCAAAATGCACTTTTGGTCTTGCTTAAAATTCTGTAGATAAAGTAATGGGAAATCATAGTTCCTTAAAGGAGGATAAGCTTCTAGAATGGAACCCAGGTCTAGATATCCCTGAATTCAGCAGCCTAAAATACTGCAAGTCCTGCATAAGGCATTGCCATTAGGTTAACCCATGAATGATATTAATGACTGTAAAATAATCTTCCAGCCAAATGGGATTGAATCTGATGTGGGGCTGAACATCATCACTAAATTCTCTGTTTACTTCTTCAAGGATAGTTTGTGGCATGAGAACAAAAGGAAAAGGCTTGAAAGTTCCTCTGTATAAAAATAAGGCAAAATATATTGCAGTACAAGTATTAGGCAAAAGCTGGATATTCATGGGATTTGCACTCCTTGTCAGAAACAGATTTTGAAGATGAATCAGTTCTGTATCTAGATCAAGTATCTAGAGAGGTATTTAGATAAAGGTTAGCTTTGAACTCTCTGAGTTCATTTCTAGGTTTGATGACCAATTTTGATTCGTAAATGAAAAGCATAGCTTTTACATTAATCCAGTCTTGGGTAAACTTTAGTTATAGTGCATTTCTGAAGAGCTTCCCTGTGTCTCACACTTACCCAGCTACCAGATTGCTATTAAACAAACAACGAGGTGGGGAAAAAGAAATACAATTTGTAGATACAATTTTGTTTTCTTTTTATACTCCAATATTATGACATTTTCTCTGTGGCTTTCAGTGTTAGCTGTCCTTTAAACACACAGATGCATCTTCCCTGAAGCTGGTGAAACAGGAAATCTGAATGCAAAGTGAGCTTTAAAAAAGGGAAAATGGCCAAACCACAAATTCTTTCACCTCGGTGCCCTCTGTGAAATCCCTGCAGTACATTCATTTGTTTGTAATACAAATACCAGCTTGGGGCCTGCATTTGTATCACTCAAGTACACTAATTAATCTTATTCACATTAGCAAAGACAATGGGAGAACTAATGTAAATAGGGATAATATTGGGAAACAAGACCTACAAAACACTAGTCACCAGAAAAGACTGACTGTTTTCAAATGCAGACCTGGTTATTGTTAATTTCAAGGTCATTTCATGAAACATGCTTTTCTCAGTTTACTTACTGGGTTTTCAAATAGAAGAATACTCCTATGCTGTTTGCTTTATAAGCTCATTCCTTGCAGATATCAAATAATTTCTTTACAAGAGGGCTTTCTGCTTAATTTCATTTTATTTTTTGATTTTATTTTTTTAAACAGCATATAGACTTAGCAGCTGGGGAATGCTTTAGGAATACAATTGCTGTAATGAAAGATCTCTTAAAAATAACTTGTATTCTGCCTTCTGAAACTTCGTTGCAACTTTCCAAGAAAATAACTTCAGGAGTTGTATACTTACAGTCTAACCGTGTTATTTTCTCATTCTTTAAAAAGAAAATTTCCCCATAAAGTTAAATAGCATCCATCAAGTCACTTGGCACAATCCACTGCTAAGAAAAGTGTTTAAATCACCATTCATTTCAACTTTCTGCCCTTTGAAGGGCAAAGGGTAAATAAGGACAGCCAGAATCTCTTGCAGGTGTTCCACATTGCTCTGAATCAATCCCCATGTTTTGTAAAAGCAATGCTAGATACACTCAAATTTAGAGTGCTGTTAAATCTTCTAGATAAATAATCCTCCTTTGAAATATTGCCAATGAGAGCACTGCAATATAGCTTAATAGAAGATACTATTTATGGGGCGTTAAAGGCATTTACTTAATTCTTGCAAGTCAAACACCAAACCAGGCAGCATGCAGCAAAAACGGAGGAGCTGATCCAGAGCTGAGTAACGTCTACATCTGTTAATGACTATGGGGCTGTGGATTACTCTCACTGGAGTAATCAGCACAGTGCTCTCCTGAATCACTGAATTCTTCCCACGTTTCTGGGCCAAATCCTGCTTGCGTGACATGAGTAACATAAAAGCACCCAAAGTCAGTGGGATGAGGGCTGTACAGGCAGACTGACACCTACAGAAAGCAAGAAGGATTTGGCCCAAGCATTCCTGTTAATACTGGTAGAAATTAATACATTCAGAAGTTAATCAAATAATCAGTTTCCAAATGCAAATCAGAAAACCATAGAAAATGCAAGCCACACCAAACAATGAGAAATGGCAAGATCTCACAGCACCATCCATTCCTCCTTTGAGATGTGAGAAAGTAGTAGCATAATGACATCCATACCAGATGCTGGCAATCACCTACAGAACATCAGACACTTCCGTGCACAGTCTGAAAATCAGTAGGGAGAAGAAGCAAAAACAAAACCAGAGTGTGTCTTGCTCTGTGGCTGCCTTCTCCTAGCCTTCTTCTCTTGAAGATGTGCATGTGCCTTGTACATGTCTGCATGAGTCATGTACACACACGGAGAGAAGAGCTCGCTCTCAATCACTGTCCTTTGTCACCAGCCACAATGAACGTATTTTGTCATTAGCCACTGACACATGGAGCAGCAGAGAGTTTAATACCACGCTGGCAAACTTGAAAGGCTGTCAGCGTTTCTGTAGAACATCTCTGCATGAAAATGTGACTGTCAGGCCAGTCTCCAAGGAAGACGCAAATACGTCATGTATTTCTCAAGTAGTTTCTCCCTGAGCGATGTGATTTGCCCATCGTAAGGATGAAATCTGTCTTTCTGTAGGGGGACTTCAGTGAGATTCAAGCAGTGATCAAGGGTCAGACTCCTCCACGCAGCCTTAATTCTTTCACTCCAATCTCTGTTCTGGCTAACAGTAAAGTACTGGATAACATTCACAGCACTATTTATAGCCTTTAGACTCACACTAAATCAAATGGGAGCTGGATCAGGCCCCAAAGTGCCTTGGCCCAATTTTCTGTGAGGTCACCTTTCGCCTGTATCCTGTCATTTTGTGTGAAATGTCTGTGAAGTACACGACTGTTCTAGAAAGAGCAGAAGAGCTTCTCTGGATACAGGCACTTCTTCACAAAATGGTGATGTCCACAACGACCTCCATTTTGAGGCTCTTTGTGAGGGGGCATTGAAGGGTATACCTGAGGTCTTTGAATTTCCTCAGTTATTAATTATCACAAAAACATTGGTGATTTGCATGCAGATAAATAATTGGAGACCTCCAAATCACAGGAAAGGTTCCTGTTGAGTACATTGGGATTTGGATACACTGGCTGGGGGAGACAAATGGGAAACTTCAGTGAGTTGTCCTATAGCTGATCCTTCTATCTAGAAGGAAAATAAATGGATCTGGTTGCCATGGCAATGAACGAGATGCTAATTAATAAATAAAATCACTGAGAGTTAAAGGTTTTACGTTCCCAAGCAGAGAATGTTTGCTATTTCTAAGAACCTGAACATAAGGGCTATAGGAAGAAATTAAAAACATTTTTATGCAATGAGTCAAGATAAACACTCAGCTACTGCACAAAGCTCATCTTCCCTGATATCATGGGAAACCGGAAAACAGAAAGAAATGGGTGTGCTTAGTGAAAAGGGAAAACAGAGGATCCTTGAGGGTCCTTAGGAATACTAAAGGCAGCCACAGAGGGTAAGGCACAGACCCAATCTCTTACTGGTAATGCACCAAGACAGGGTGAGGTTGAATAGGGTCAGGAGATGCCAGCATGACACCAAGCAGGTGTAGCCCCAGATGCCTACAGAACAGGAAGCACAGCTTGTTGCTAGATGCTAACATTATGTTTCTGAGTCTGGATCTGGAACCCTCCTCCTAGGGCAAAAGTAAAAGTAATGAGTTGAGCTAAGCTCAGCCTTGAACCAGGGGAGTGAACTCAAAGTTTGGGAGATCATTTTAAATCCTATGAGAGCACATCCCCTAAAACTCCCTGTGCCTGCTTGCGCACTTACAGCAAGGCATTAAAGATAAGTGAGATTTTTAAAAGCACTAATTGTTAGCTTTGTCGACTCCCCCCGGAGTCAATACTGAAACTCATTGATTTCAAGTGAAGCAGAATGCCTTTGAAAACCAGCCTCTAAGTGCTTTGCTGGACAGAAGCCTTACACTGTGGAGGACTTGGCCTGCTACTTTTGGTAAGCAATTTCACTGAGCATGCTGAGCCCAAGTCCGTTTGTGCAGGCATAACTACCTGATAGAGAAGCGTGATCAATTTTACTGAGGAAAAGCTCAGATATTTGCAATGTGAGTACGTTTCAGTGCTTCTCTCTGAAGACATAAAAGAAGAAAAAAAGCCCACCTTTTCTGTTCTCCATAGCAGATGCACCCACAAAACTTACGAAAGAGATCAGCATTCATTATCTCTTCATTTTTAGCCCACTGTGGAATGATATTTCATTCTAGCACAAGCCTGTGTCATTGTCAAAAAGTCAGATTGAAATCCAGGTAAACACAGCATCATGCCCAATATTTCTTTCTTAGACATATATTTAGACATACAGAAATACATTAGACATATATTTAGCATGTCTGACCAAAAAAAAAATTGAACTGGTTCTTTGAAACTATCTATTAAAAAAATCAAAAAAGGAAAAAGAAAAAGCATATCCGTGTTTTACAGGCAGCTAAATGATCCTTAGCAATTTGTAGCTCTCAACATCTATAATTTAAACATGCTCATGGCACAGGTAATCTTGACAATAAAATTTAGGGCCAGATATTTTATTTGCATATCATTATGCAGCCATGTCAGCAAATAATTCAGTTACCTAAAAATGCAGTTATCAAAAGAATAATTCCATAGGAAGAAAGGAAACAAGAAAATGTGAGTTACTATGTATCATTCTAATAAATAACATTCGTCTTTTTTTCCTATTAACCCACAAATGGAACAACTCTGTATCATTGAAGAGCTTTAGTGAACTTTACAATAAAGCTTTTCTGAATATCTCTATTCTCCTCATCAACCGAAAAACAGCCACGGTTTATCACTTTCTATAAAGCAAGATGCAGAACATCAGAAAATCGCTATATATATAACTGAGCAAAATAGACAGGCTCTGCTCTGAAGAAGAACAAGATTGAGACAAGATGGAAAGTGAAAGGCGTCCCCTGGAGAAGGCTGTCCCTCTAAGTTAGCCTTCAAATCCTTCCTGCAAAGGAAGGTAGGAAACTCTGCTTTTATTTCTGATTACCATCCCACATGATCTACAAAAGTGCTCAACTTGCTGTTCAGCTTTATTCTTTAAAAGCTAAATTTTGACCTATACTTTCACTAAAAAGTAGTAAACCCTGGACCCATGCGTACATTTTTTTAACCTCTCAATTCCAGAATTCCCATTTCCACTTTATATTCCTTGTGAATGTTGGTGATTAGTCCCTGGATGTTTATGCCATGGCTTTTGTATAAATTTGTTTTATTATTCATGAGCGATATTTTGATAGGAAGAGAGGGGATGGCATCAAGTTGTGCCAGGGGAGGTTCAGGTTGGATATTAGGAAATATTTCTTTCTCAGAAAGAGTGGTGATGCAGTGGCACAGACTGCCCAGGGAGGTGGTGCAGTCACTGTCACTGGAGACGTGGCACTGATGACATGGTCAGAGGGCAATACTGATGGTAGCTGGATGGTTAGACTAGCTATCTTGGAGATCTCTTCCAACCTTAATGATTCTATGATAATGCAGGTGTGCGTAATACAGTAGATGGCCAAACCTCTCTAATCCTAAAGAGCTGTGCACAAGAATCTGAGCAATCCCAATGCTATGCATAGTTTTGATGTGTGATTGCCAGCATCTGTTCAGGATTATCACCAATAGGATCTACCATGCACGGTTTTTGCTATCTTCTCTACCTTGCCATGCAGGTTGGAGATGTTAAACACTGAGGCTGAATGAGACCTGTCCATAGATAATGCTCAGCAAGAATTTATCATCACATGTTTAGTCCTTACTGGACTGCATAAATTATATAAACATAAACAAGAAGCATTAACTACTATTTTCAGAAACAGGAGTAAAATAGGTCGTAAGCAATGAAAAAAAAGAGCTTCTTTCGCTACCAGACCTGTATGAAAACTGTTATATTTTGTTGAGGGGTTGTTGTGCTGGAATCATGGTCTTTAATATGTAAGAAAATGTGATTTGGTGAAACGTTGAATCCACCAAAATTAATGATGGAACTTTTCTGATCTAGGCAAGGTCTGAAATTTAAGCACTGTTTCTGTCACAAACAGATGGACCAGCGCTAGGACAAATCAGGCTACCTGTGCTTGCCGTCTTGAAGCTCATAGCACAGATCTGGATTCCTTTTTGGATGTGCTCTTAAACACAAATACACACCCTGAGGTCATACGCCTTCCATTTTTAAAATCAATATCTGAAGACTTTAAAAGAGTTTCGTTGCCATTCTCATACAGTTCATGAATGAGCACTTTCTGTCTGCGATTCACGAGCCACTGCATGCAGCCCATCTTCCAGCAGCACTCATTTTAGTGAGGTCTGTACTTTTGGAAGCACTCTAATTCCTTCTGCCCACAGAAATGGTATTGGGAAATGTATCGGAGAAAGGTATTCTATTGACAGGTCACATCCCCTACATTCCTCCATTTCCTGATCAGTATCTATGGTTAAGTCACTTGTATTGACTGTGATTACTACTGGAAATGGCATGTAGGCTTTAATGGCAGCCGGAGTGTTTAACCTGGTTTTCACCTGAAATGACTGAGATTGTTTTCAGCGCCCGCAGTACTCTGAACGTTCGCAAGGCTGAGACATTGCCCAGGTCCACAAATTCAGTTATGTATCTGTAACAAGGGAAAGTCACACACAGACAATGACAAAACACCAGCAAAAAACAACAGTCAAGGGGACAAAGAGAGACAGAGAAAGAATCACTTGTAGCTGAGAGCCAAAACAGAAGGATCGAGGCTTCTTACCTGGGATTACTGAAATAGTTTTTAAAGCTCTCAATACCCTGAAAGTCCGAAGAGGTGAAACACTGCCTACATTCACAAATTCTCCTACATACCTGTAGAATTAAGTCACAGTTATTTGGAATTATACAATAGAGTACGAGACTTGTCTGAATGAAGAATGCATTCACATATAGCAGGAGCGAACGCATCCGAATGAGAGGTGACTCCACTTTTCTGGCTGCTCTTTGATGCCGTTTGTCCCAGGTTTTTCATAGCACACATTATTGCAAATGTTTCTTCAACTATTAAACTGATTTAACAGGCATCAATTTGTTAAAACTGTGGTTGAAATTTGTTCAGCAACAAATACCATGAAGATTTTATTATCACGTAGTTTAACCAAGATTTTTTGCTTTTTAGGAAACATTAAGAATTGCTGTGCTGCTCTTAAAAAATACAAAATAAAAGCTTTGAGTACTTAAGTAATTTTCAGTAATGACTTCCACAAAGTACATACAGAACAACATTGGGAAATATCAGTGCAAATATTTCTACAGGGTTATTTATTGTACAGTGCTGTACTGTGCGTTAAAGCAGATGCTGATTTCAAGAGAAGCTTAAAACTTTATTTTATTTTGTACATCAAATCCATGCCCTATGGCATGCTGGAAGAAGACTTTTGGATGAATATAACTGAAAACCCACTAAGCCTATTTATGATTAAAACAGCAATCCCAGCTATTCACCGTTGTGTCTATTCTGGACACCAGGGAGACCCATACAACAGCAGAGCAAAATGCTCCCAGGAGGGTCAGCTATAGAATGAGTAGGCTTTATCACTGTTTCCAACATTATTTCCACCAAGAGACTATGCAGTAAAATCACAGTCATCATTGTATGTTCTAGACCCTATTGTATGGCTGTTTACATTTACTTACTCTACTTCTTTGAAGCGTTTGTTTTCATGTGCCAAGGATAAAACTCACTTGGCTATCTGACAAAGACTGCTTAAGTGAGTTTTGTGCAAAGGACTCTGCAGGAGGACAAAGCACCCTTTCCATATCTGCTAACCTACATTATGTTCTGGAAGAGCAGTATTGCTTCTCTTCTTCATATACAGGGGAGTCTGGCATTTACCTATCTGGTCATTCCTCCCCAGGTGTACCCAGCACTTCTCTCCCAGACTCTTTTGCAGCTTGCAAGAGTGTAAAATTAGGGGAGAAGCAATGCCATGGGAATATGGTTTTGCAGACCAGAGATTTGTACAAATACATTAATAAGCATATTAGACAAATACTTCTGCTACCTGTTCACAATAGTCAACTAATAGAGATTTTATCAGCTTCTTGGATGAAACTGCAGCAGTTCAGTGTCTGTCATGGGGAGCAAGAAGCAGCTGGAATTCCCATTCCAAGTTTTCCAGTTAGCTAGGGAATTGTTTATAGTCTTTAAGAATTTGGCAGGGCATTTTCCAATCCAGAGCTACAGCAACCTATTCCTTTCCTGTTCTAGAAAGTCCTCGCTTGTCTGATAAACAGTATTCTAATGAGGGGCAGTCTCCTAAATTTTCCTGAACCCATCCATGGCCCCACAAGGCATGGCTGTGCCTGCTAGCACAGGGTGGGAGAAAAGCTGTGAAAACCTCTGGCACCACTGATCTCTAATGAGCTGTTAAAAGCTACTCTCTATGACCCAAATTGTGCTATTTCTGCCCCAAAAATAAGGAGGTAGGAACTTATTCTGCAGTAACTCTACAGCAACCGATGGTCATTCCACTGTAACACCCACCAATGAAATAATCATATTTCCTGTTAGATCAAAAGCCCTTCGTTCCTCTAAATCTCATGGCCTTTTATCAGGCTCTCCATCCCATACTGGTTTTGTTTCCAGATACAGAAATACCACTAGCTACAAGCAAAGATAACAACCTTACTTTAAATTCAATCATACTTTAAATCACTTGCAAATCGTGGTTTACATGAAGGGTAAATCTTATCAGAATAGAGAACATTATCCAATGCTTTGCACTATCTGTAATATACTAGGGAAGGAGGCTTCATTGTACATATGAAGATCATACTGCAGCCACCACCACTAGCTCTTTCACTGCTGCCTATGGGCTCCAGGAAGCAGTTGCAAATAGTGAGTATAAATTCTTTCCTTTCTGTACCAAAACTCCCATTCCTTCTTTTCTAATCTAAAATTGTTTCTTTCCAGTTCTATACGCTTGAAAGAAATATCCAGATCTTGTTTGTGCTGACTGCTCAGACACAAATTTCAATTTAGAAAACAAGATGCTCCCAGTGGGTTTTGGCAGAGCTGGTTGGGATGATAACCCAACTTCCTCCCAAGCTGAGATGAGATAGAGCAGACACACTGTCAAGGCTGCAAGTTGTTGCTCATCTTGCCCTTTTTCTCTCTGCTCATTTCTACCTTAATGTCAAAAGTCTTCTTCCTCTAGAATACAAGAAACCAGTGCACTGAAGATAATGACGAACTCAGAGCCCTGCATAGGAATTCCCTGCTTCACATACTGATGGACAGGACAGAGGAGAAGTTTTGGATTGTTCTGTCCTGCCTCTAAATACTGCAGAATTACATGGCTTGAGGAAAGATTTAGCTGAGAAAAATATCTAGTGTGTGCTGGCATCCCAAAGCTCCTCCCCATCTGCCTTGCATATTTTGAAACACTTATCACAATGGCCATATGTCAGTTTGGCCAAATCCGTAGTAATACAGTAACAGATACAAAGATGTGGCCTTGGGCTGACCTACTGAAATAAACGGGAGTCTTCCCAATGAAGTCTACATGGATTTTACAAGTCTTTATGTTTTCCTTCTGCTAAACACTGCCGAGAATATTAGCCCTGATCCTGGCGTATCACCACTGACTTCTGTGATCCTTTGTGCTGTTTGAACTAAGTTTGGGTTGAACCTTTTTTTCCAGTTTTGGTTCTAATCAAATTTCACGGGCCCAGGCGTTCAACTCAAATGTAATCAATTTCCCCAAAGTAGTCTGGTGTATTGACAGAATGGAACTGAGAAATCTTGCTCTGAAACCACTCAGGAAAACAAAGACCATTTTAAAATACTTCTAAAGCACTTTCTCATTTTCAGTATAACTTCAGTGAAAAAAAAAAAACAAAAAAAAACAAAAAACAAAACAAAAAAAAACCAGCTAGACAACTTAGAAATATACATCTATTGCACATCACTGTCTCAAACAACAAAAAGGAGGGCTACTTACGCCATAACAATAACACTGAAATCCAGCCAGTTCCACGGATCTCGAAGGAAGGTGAATTCTGTCATGCAAAATCCTCTCGCCAATATTTTTATCAATGACTCAAAAGTGTAAATGCCAGTGAAAGTGTACCTGGGGAATAAAGTGTCCGAGATAAGCAACAGCATTAACAAGCAGTTGAGAGAAGGGATGGTGTGCCCTTATCACAGGACACACTCCTGCCCACCTTGTTGGGTGTGCTCATGTAGGTCATGGCTGCAGCACTGGGGCTGCCTGCAAGCATGTGTGGACCAAGGAACGTGTAAGAAATGGGAAAGCACTCATGACAGCCACAGGATGAAGACAAGTTTCACCATAGGGTGCACCTGGATGAACTCTCACTCATTAAGTCAGGCATGAATACTACGCTGATAAGCTGCGCTATGGGACTTCCAAAGCTCTTCCTGCAGTTGCCAATGAAAGAGGAAAGGATTATGCAGCATCCCTTGCTGTTTCTCATATTTGAGGGACGATGGTTGTTCCATTCATACCTCTCATCTCTTCCTGCCCGGGCTGTTTTGAAGGACAGCACTTAAAAAATGTTGCCTCCTTCATTTTCTTAGCTAAAAGTGGTGTCCTGTAAAATTCAACAATCTGTTGTAAATCACATCAGATCTCAGAATTAAACAGCAGAATGTCATCACTGGAAATGAAGAAACAAACCCCTGTCCCAACACTGCATGTTCTAATTTTGACCTGCTTGACAGTAAAAGAGACATGAGGGTCTTTTTCCCCCTGAATACAAGTTGTTTATTACTGACAACCTCTTCACGGTGCTAGTAGGTAGAGCACACACATTCTGCCTTTCACAATAAAGATTATACTTGTAATAATATTTAGCAAATTCTCTGTGTAGGAAAGTAACGCATCTGACTTAGAACACTCAGATCAGTATCCACTCAGGGCTCTAACTACCAACAGAGACATACTTCAGGGCACACAGCAGCTCTTTTAATAATATCTGAGATATCTAGCCCAAAGGGACTTGGTATTCTAAGACCTATTTCAATAAAAATAATAAATGCTTAGCACCACCACTGATAATCCCCTTTTCTCTAGATGAAGATGTAGACGATACCAAAGCAGAATTTTTGTGAGGCTGCTATATACCTAACCCTAACTCTCTATATACACATAATTTTTTTTTTAATTTATTTTTTTAAACTATTTTTACTTAAATAAAACACAAATTTCATAAGCCTTAATACTTAACACTAGCATGCGCTTTCTGTTTAGTTGTCTGTTTAGTTCCTAAACATCAGTAGCTACAATGGTATCATCACATAAACAAAAACAGAGAAACAAACAAGACCTGGAACAGTTGGTGGGGAAAAAAAAAAAAAAAAAAAAAAAAGTGTAAGCAATGAAAGGTGGCAATATACTGAAGAAATGCATTATTCAAAAGCAGGAAATGTTTTCTCTTAGTTGTATATTCCTTCGATTTGCAAAGTTATAAGTAGTGGCAAATCTGACAGCCTCCTGCCCTCCTGTCACACAGCACAGCTAGTTACACATCCTATAAAACCTCAGTGTGCTTCATCTTAAAAGGGAGATAAGCAGGACTGCTTCTGTGCAGCAGTGCATGTAAACCCTTCCTCACGCCTCCTTTATGACCACACGCCTACACAGTATCTTGTACCCAGCTCTTCATTGCTCTTAGTTTTATTCTCACCTTACAAATATAGGTCACTCCTGTGAGTCTCTTTAAGCATGTGTATTCAGTAATACACGCAGAAAACGCATGCAAAAAAAAAAATAAATATACTTAACGGTACATAAGCTCATTAAAATGATAAAGCACTTGTATTTATTCAGCATGTCAGATGGTTTAATTGATTGTATAATCATCATCTAATTCTAAACAGATCGGGCAAAGTCCTCCAGCAACTGAGCAGCTTCTTCAACAATACAAGTCAGGGTTTGTTTAACGTTTTTAGTGGGGGGAAGTTGAATTGATTTTTTCTTTCTTTCTTCTTTTTTTTCAAACATGTAAAATATTTATTCTGTTTTCAAGGCAGATCTAGGGCAAATATTTGCACAGCTTTACTCCTACATTCCCTGTGAGGCTCTGGAACAGTAGAGAAAAACTGGATTACATCCATCTTCTCCAAATCTAATATTAATCGATTAGAAATAAAGTTTGTTGGGTTGTTTTGTTCCTCAAAAGAACTCGTTTTTGATTTTGCTCTCTTAATTTGAGGAGGAAAAGCTGAGAGGTATGAGGGGACACAGTAAAAGGGGAAACATGGAAGAAAAAGGATTTACTCCATGCTGCATGACTCCATTTGCTTTTCAGCTCTACGCCTCTTGCATGCCCTGCTCAACACACTGATAACATCATTCATGTTTTCCTGTCTAAGGAAAACACACCAATCACTCTGATATTTTCTTTCACAACTTCAAAATCCTTGGCTGTAGATCCACTGACCAAAGTTTGACATACATGGATGAGAGGTCCGTGTTTCATCTTCATACATCATTAACATGGTGTGATGTGACATTTTTTTCAATAAGGACAACATCAGGGGAAAAGGATAGTCACAGACATTCTTGAGGGTACAGAAACACTGTACAGAAATACGTGAAACATCCTGGGACTAGGATGTTAGTGTGATCAGATGAAATATTTGGTTCAGAGCTGCCTATAATTAGTAATTTCTGGCCTAGAAGATGTCCCCTGCACGATTCTATGAAACCTGAAATAAGGGCATTTACTGCCTCTCCTCACAGCCCTGCACAGACCAACCACAAGGCTATCTAACAGCAGATGGTCATGTTTATCATATGTCAGTCAAAAATAAAAAGTGTGTTCTGATTGGTTCAATGAGCCAAAATAATTGTTTAATGCACTGTAGGTTGATTAGCTTGTGCATCTGGTATCTCTTTCTGAAAGGAGCATTTTAAAGCAACTTAAAGAAATGAAATGGGCTTTCTGAAGCCCGTTAAACCCTTTTAAAATTCACTTTAGAAGAAAAGTAAAAGGAACGCTGAGTGACATCTTTGCTGTTTTATTTTCTGATGATTTCACAAGCTAAAAAGAGAGGAATGCTCACAAAAGCATTACCTCATAATGTACACCTACCAATGACTACAGGGGAATGCTATTCATGATATGCTCAGTCCAAAAGAAACTTTCGATTCCAATGAGAGTTGAAGTCCTGGAAGTATTTTCTGAAATAATTAAAGTCCATTGGCCTATTTTAATGTGCCCAATGTTGAACCTCTTGCCTAGGAACGATGGAAGGCTGGCCAGTTTCAAATGGAGTTCTCATCATACGTGATTTCATTCCGATGTAGCATAGCAGGTGCATTCAGCAATAGGTATGAGCTTGGAAGACTGAAAATTGTTAGTTTACTTACTAAGGGAGTTTTCACAGGCAAGAAACACCTGGCAAAACACTTTGTCAGGACAGATACTATGGTCAGTGTTACTGGAAAGAAATGAGACAACAGCAAACAAGAGGAAAAGAACGTAACAAACAGAAGAGGAAGGACAAGATAAGGATGGGCAGCTGTAAGCCAGCCAGGATACTTACTCAACATATTTATTCCATGATGGAGTCTCTGACTGCGCCATGAACACACAATTAGTTAAAATAGTGCACATAATAAACATACTGAACAATGTAAATAAGTGAATTAAGGAAAAAAAAAATGCATTTGTTAAGAGACTTCATACATTTTTATCATTTCATACAAGACTCAACATCTCACTCATAATTTCCAGCATTTTAAAAAATCACTGTAGACATTTGTTTCCTATTGCATAAGAAAAAAAGTAATTAAAGAAACACAGAAAAACTGAGTGATTCTTGTCTGTTTTTTTTCACTGCATACATCTTTTATGCATGCTTTACAGAGTAGAGAAACACACAGTCTTGGCAGTGTTCTGAAAACAATGATACCTCAAATTTACAGCCGTGCTGGACAGATGACAAAATGCACAGGTGAACAACTTGGCATGAAAAGTGGGATTAGAGTCATGGAAGTATATACAGAAAAACCTGTGTCTGCAACTTCTGATCTTACTTTGCATCCTGAAACTTTTCTCAGGCAGCAGGCAAAGCTATAAATCCAAACTCTCTAATCTGTTGAGGTCTCACGATCAGTATGCATTTCACCAAAAGCTAATATGAGTTTCATAGCATTAATTTCAAGGCTCGGTCAGAAAACCTCATTGGAAAATACAGTCTTGATCTGCAAAGCTGAGTGTTTCAGCTGAGGAACCAACTTCCCTATCTGGAGGCTAAAATGAACCTCCCTTGTATATAGTCTGTGCACTTAAGGGCTAAGCTGAGGCCATAAAGACAAAGAAAGACAAATTCCTGAAATTCAAAACATAGTTCACTGAACTGCTCTGCTAAAAGCACATGCTACTCTTTGTAACTATGATGGGGTTCTCCTGCATAAATAGTACATCCCACGCTCCTGGAGAGAAAGTTTAAGGCATGAGTTGAAGTGGACAGAAGTTAAACATCCTACAGTCCAGTCAACAGCCTGGGACCCTTCTCAGAGAAGCATAGCACTATCCAAATGTAAACTGCTTTTGACTTCTTCAGAAGAAAAGTTTACTTCTTTCCTTGTTTTATCCATTTACCAATCCCATCAATGGTAGTCTTCTGAGAACAGTAGAACTGTTCTATCACAGACCCAAAATCTCTGCTGAGTACAGAGTGGAACGTTTTCCAAATGGCCTCATAAGGCACTGTGACATTAAATTGGTAGTAACCAATCTGCATGTTCCCCTGTGCCATTCAGAGAGCAGTAATTGAACCCAGAGGGACTGCTCATCTCACAAACATTTTCCACTTATGGACTGACACGTTCTGCTGAAGGACTGGGAAGATGGATGATATCCAGACTCATTTACTTAAGTCAGCTTGAGATGTGTCTCTGAGAGTCGTCTACCTGGTTAACACAATGAGGTTGTAAACTGCAGCTGGCCTGGAATACACTGCATTACACTCACTGCATCACCTACAGTGAAAAGCAATGAAAACAATAATAATATAGCAGAGCAGTATCTTCAGGCCATGCCAAACAAGAACTATCCTTCAATTCCAAGCAAAGAAATTTCCCTATAACCACTCAATTTAAGCTCACTAGTCTGATTTATACATCCCTATTTCCTTGTGGTGTAAGCTGAATCTAAAAGTGAGCTTTCCCAAGGTGACATGACCTTCTTGTTTGAACACCAAAGAAAATATACATGAGGATACAGTTTGAAAACGTCAGGGGTCAGCTTTGGGATATTAAATGATCTATCAATTCTAACTGAGTTTCATGACCAAGCTCAAAACTACAAAGAATTTAAAAGAAAGAATCACTCTAGCTAGTTATGTACTGAAGCCGGATGTTTGTGTTAGAAAGTGAAAACAGAAATTCCTACACAAAGAAAATTAGCATTCCTGTCTGAAATCTAATGCAATTGCTCACGCAGTAGAAGTTGTTGATCATTATCTACTCAGAAAAGACTAAGTAGAAGAGATTAAATTGATGCAATCTGTATTATCACTATTGTCTGTCTCCTATCTTACAGCTGCTATTACTTCCAGTATTTGAAAGCCCACTGATCCTTGAGCTGACATGAGTCATGCACATAGCTAACACACTCCAATAGGGTGCATGGGTTGCACACTATTATGGACCACAAATCCAACACAGTAAGCTACACATTAGGATCCTTTCTGCAATAAACTGAACCTGACATTTATTTCCAATCTGAAGTTACAGAATGACATCTTATGCAGACTGCATAGAGAATTCCTGAAAGTTATATATTTTATCTTCCAGCACAAAGATACTGAGCAAAACACTGCATACTTCTATTCTAGACTTCATTATGATAGATAATAGTTAATTAGCAGACTGAACATTGGTGTCTCTTTAAGTAATCATTGCCAAATTACATATAATATGGGCAACCAAAGGTTAGTTCCAATCAATAGTACACGTAATTGGTGCTTCACAAGGTCTCATTTTCTACTACCAAGGAAAATGTATAAAATCAGATAGAAGAAAGGCTGCAATCACAAAATGTGAACACAAATTATGAATTCTAAAAGGATACTTTTTTAGATGGGACAGAATCCATAATTCTAACACCGAGGAAGGTAATTTTGGCCTAAAACCTATTCTGAATCAGTGACAAATTGAGACCAACTATCTATAATACCTAGAAAAATCAGGAACTAGTAATTGCAATATTTTTATACAGAACAGTAAACTGCTTGGAGAAACCACAGACAGCACAGAGCTGTCTTTGGCTTGCAGGCAAGAGCAACTAAGAGAAGCCTTTTAAGCATAAGGCATAAATGAAATGCTACCAGTGACTTAATCTTAGTAAATAAAGATGCTAATAGCTAATAGAAGGTAAAAAGTTTTCAACTACTACTTCTATTTTGCATTTGCTATAGACCAAAGGGATGCAGACCTTCACCACCCATGTCCTTTATGACAGAAATGGGCCAGAGCCTTGTTGGGGCATCTATCTGCACCTCATAGAGTCTGAAGAGGAGGGGAAATACCTGGAAGAGGTTCAGGGCCATGCTGTTAATTGAAGCGATTCACTTTACTGGAGGCTGTTATCCTGTGGATGCTTTCCCATGGAAGGATGTGCTTCTGAATGACAAGAGTAACTACGCTTGGATGGATGAGCAGTCAGCATACAGGATCTATCCTGCCTAAAATCTCAGAGGAAGAACTCCATAGAAAGCCACTTAACCAAGAAATGTGACCCCCCACAGCTTCTATAGAGGATGATCTTATTTTGTCCTCTCTCTTCTATTCTACTGTTGGCCTTCGAGGTACATTCAGTGACAAGCAAAGGAAATATGGCCTCTACTACAGATGTTGCTTCAGACACTTACGTGACAGAGTACCATTTGTTAATGCTCTTTTTTGGCCTCGCTCCAGGGGAAATAAAGACTGCTTGATTACACTCACGCAAGGCAACAGATCTGGTTCCCAGATTCATGTCTGTGATATTATTCGCTTGAGTACTTGCCGATTCAGGCTCCTTTCTGCCTGGGATATTGACTTCCTGCTCAGCCAATTGCCCTTTGTGCTTCAGGATGGTTCGACAGCCCTTTATTGACAGAAAACACCACAGTGCCTAATGCAGGAACCTCAGCACTGAGAGGCTGGGACTGAAGCTCCCACCTCCTGCCCGTGCTGGCTGAGGGCTGAGCTGTTGGATTGTCTGACATTATCAACACAAGGTGATAACCTCCTTCCGGAACTAAAATGCTGTTAGGATTGCAGCTTTCCACTCCTGAAAGGTTACACTCCTTATCTCCCATATTTCTACTCCTGATAGGTCTTTGAAATTCACTCCTTTGTGCTCTTTATCCTTGGAAGAAATGTGATAAGGATTTCTTGCACACTTATCTTATGGCTGACTGCTACCAAGGACGTGTCATTTCTGTGTATTACACACACCTGTGACCTCGTGGCTTCATGGGCTGTGTGCAAGAAAGGGAGAAGACAGAACAGACCTCCAGACCTGGAGCCAATATTTACACATACCTTTTCTAAGAATCTCAGTTTTCATATTCTTCTCTTAGCTGCAGCTGTGGAAATCAAGAACTTCAGCAAAGCTGTGCTGGTGTAACCGTACCTCGTAAACACTGTTGGGCTCTGGCTATGCAGCAGTGCCTGCTGCACTGTTGTAACCTGACCCAGAAACAACTACCTCTGCAAAATGCTACGTTTTTCCTTCATAACTGTAAAAAAACATTAGATTATATCACATACTCATTTTTTTTGCATATAATTACTGTTGTCATATTGCCATTGTATCACTTTAACTATTTTTCTTCTTGCTAGAACATCTATATTCCCACTTTTTATGTTTTCCCCACTGCACCTGGAGTCTGGTTTATTCCCCTACTTTTTTCCACAAACGAGTAATTCTAAGAGGCTACTTGCTTAGAGTTGGTTCTCTCTGACAGAAATGGGCATTGCAGCTGTGGGATTTCCATCACTGAAATGCCACACGGTCATCACATCAGTCTTTGAATTATCACTTTTGGGTCACTCCTGCACACTACTCATTCCTAGCTGGGTAGCAAGTTGCACAAAAAAAGAAAACTAACAACATTACAAAACAGGCTTGAAAATATTTTCTTTCAGGAAGGAAATTATTCTGAGGCAATTCAAGATTAAATTTTGTCTGCATATGGTCACAGAGTCTCATGGGAGACACTGCTTAAGCCCTCAGTGGCAAAGCTCTTCCATAGTGCACATCTCCCTGGACATGCTCCAGCCTCACAGCTCCTTTCCTATCTCAGTATTGCACCACTTTCCTTCCATCTTCCGACTCCTCTCCAACCATGGTTGGACACTTCACACCTTTCAAAACTAAATCTCACCAAACTCTCAAGAGAGGCTCACAGTACCATAATATAATCACAGTCGTAGCTCAAGTTACAATATAAGAGGGGAAAAAAAAATCAAGTTTTTCTCTGTATACAAACAAATGCATCAGAAAGATCTAAAACAACTTAATTAAATTAACTGCTTTCTCACTTTCTGTGTTTAAAAATAAAATTATAAAATACACTAGGAGGAACATCAACAGAAAGGATATGAATGTACCAAAATTTTAATTGCTGCTCTTCTGACTGGATGGAAAGGACTAAGTATATACAAGGCAGGAGTGGCACTAAATCGAAATATTGTCTTCCCTTTGTTCAGTACTACAAATGTCTGGAAAAGAAAATAGAGAATAAGAACATTCAATATTTGCACTGACATTAGGCTTTTCCCATCCCATTTTCCCAGAGAACTCCTGCCGATATCCCAAACATCTTCCATCCCAAATCCCCAAATTGTTTTTCACTCCATGAAGTTGTCTTCTTCATTGACTACAGGATCCTTTTATACTTCCTCTTCCTAGTCCTACCTCCACAACAGGACTTGATTTTCAACAGTGAATGGCAGCATAGAGACTAAAATGCTTTAGAGAGACTTTTATGCCATTTCTCTACTGCTGTGCTGTTACTCCATCTTCCCTACCTTGCACAGGTTATTGCTCTCAGCCAACATTTCTCAACTCATCTTTCAAGAAGCTATGGCGGTGATGGACTGGTGGTTGGACTAGATGAACTTACTGCTCTTTTCCAATCTTAATGACTCTAAGATTTCATGAGGCACAGCTCCACAAGAGGATCTAACCCAGGCAATGAGGCACTGTCACTGTGTTCATATTAATATGGAGAACAGGAAACACATACTGAGTTATCTTAAATCCAAAGCAAAGATGAACTGGATGCTACCCAATTACATAGCTCTGAAAATGCCCACTCATGTCTGGAAGGACTAATACTCACTTAGAGAAAGGATCAGGCCACTCAGTAGATAAACTCTTAAGCAGGCCACCCACTTGAAACAAAGACCTCTGTGATCCTAAAGTTCCAAATCTGTACCCCACTGCTTGTGCATGGTGACAGCAGAGCCATAAATATCTGTAAGTTAATTCTGGCCTTTCCAGGTCTTTCTCTTTGTCCATTTAACTTTAATTCTGTAGTTGTTTGACACCATTTTAATGGAAGCATCACCATGGTCATATTAATGTTTTGTTTAGAGGAAGTAACTTAGCCCAAAACCAAGAACATCAGTACCTGAAAGAAAATGAAGCTCCCTAAAAATACTCTGAGGTTCCAAGTCTTATTTTATTCTCCATGTTGCAAAATGTTTGGAAAGGATAATGAACTGTAGTAAGTAACCAGCCTCGCTCTGCTGTCAACAGCCTTTTGACAGATTCTGTTTGCACTGCTGTGGCTTTGATCCAGCCTACTTCATCAGGTGATGCTCGTTTTGGGATGAAGCTTACTGTTCTGCAAAGTGCCAGTACTAAATGAACCAATCACGTATCCCTTCAGCTCTGTTTTGATAATCTTAAATGGAGTTAAACCATTCCTCAGCAGAAAAAGCGCTGCCCTTCAGAATAGTCATGGAGGTGCTTCCCATCTTGTGATGAGCGCTAACGTGACACTTGAGCAGCTTAGTGCCATTACTTAAGACCCAAGACTCAATATCGAAGTTCAGTTAAGGGACTCAAAAGGCCAACACATCTGTGAAGACTCAAGTCTCATGAAGATGAGAGATACAGTAGATAAAAACCTCTGGCTTCCTTCAGCTATTGCTCTGCCCTGCCCTTTTCAGACTATGTATACTCATAATCAGCGTCACTCGAAAACACCCATGTTTTAATTACGATTTTTATCCCTCTTTGTGCTGCTCACATGTTTTTCGGGAGACCTACTCATGCCAAAAATCTGAAAAAAAAAATTTTACCGGCTGTAAGAAGATAAAAACCACAGCCCTCAACACAAAGAAGGATGCTATGGTTCAGCAAACGCTATGAAACAGAGCGCCTTGCTGATGCTCACCTTGCGGTCATTGTAGAAGGGGTCAATGTCCTCCAGTGGCTCTCCAATAAGCTCTGGAGGAACAGTCCCATAGATATCAGGCAGCTTCTTGCACGCTTGCAAATCAAACTGAGGCTGAGGTTTTTCCTCTTCGCCCAGCTGCTCTCTGTACTCCTGCTTCGCATTCCTCGCAAGCTTCTCTGCAATTCGCTTCTCAATAGCAGCCAAGGATTCGGGCGTGAACCGGTGGAAGCTGTTAGTACCCGGTGGTAACAAGAAGTCAGCCATCTTTTCATCCTGCTTTGTCTATACTGGTCTTTTCTCCAAGTAGTTGAAACAGCTGAAACAAAAAAGACCAAAGGTTTGCGACAGGAGCAAAGCAAGAACTAAGCCATCAGAATGAAAAACAAACACGCTAAGCAATAACTTGTAGGTTATCGATTACCAGGAAACTCTTCATCTGTTCTGATGTGGTGAGTAGCACATAAAGGAAAACAAAACATTTGAACTGTTATTTCAATTAGCAATCACTCTGCGATCAGAGCTAAAAAGACTCTGTTGATTACTGTGGACTGTTCATGAGTTTTTAAGTCACTTGGGAGCCTCAGTCATATCTAAAGAGTAATTTACATTCATACAAGCTTAAGTTTCACTGAAAGTCACAGGGATTGGATTCCTAACTCATTTTTGAGAATGCAGCTCTGGGAGTGGATGAACAATGCGCAGATGACTGCAGGGCAGATTTAAATCCACCGATCTCGGGCCACATGATGCAAACTCTAAAAATGCCCCAGCTGTTCTATTCCAAATTTAAAAAGCAAAGGGTCAAGTTCAGATTCTTAAATCACGCAGAAGTTCTCCATAATCTCTGTCTTAGGCTTCTGCAATGCAATTTTTCAGCATTTATTTTCCTTTGGGGATAGAAAATAACCATCCTCCTGATGTCTGGCAGAACTTCTGAGTATTTCCTTCTTCTCCACACCCTACAATCCACAGGATGCTGGAAGCCCAAATGTGCCTAGCAAAGCCCTGGGACCTTCATGAGAGCACTCCAAGCTTCTAAGATGCTGTGAAGCCCCTGTTGCCCATTCATCATATCTGAAAATCAGGCTGACTGTATCCAGTATCAATATGAACATCTAACCCAGAGCTGCGAGCTTTGACCATGTTGGGTTGACGGAGCTTCACTGTTAACACTTCCAATCCCCAACAGACTAAAAATGAGTGAGAAGTGCCACATCTCTTCAACTTACAGGAACAAAATACAAGTGTGAAAAACGCAGCAGAACAAAAAGTCCTCTTGTATCTGCACTAAATAACACAGATAACTGTGAAAATTAATGTAAAACAATTGTTTGAAAAGGGATGAAGCTTTTCCCTGTTCTAACAACTTGCACAAATCCATTCAAGTTCACTGAAGCTGTGTTTTGAAATTCAATAGTGACTTAGGTGGTGTGCTTCTTCTAGCAAAGGAAATCCTAGCTACGCAACAATTAAAACACATTCCACAGAAGAAAAACATTATTTTAAAATTATTATTATTATTTGGCATATCACCAGATATGAAATCAGAACATAAGCAAATAAACAACACCATAGCTTTTGAGGTGGGCCACCCTATTGCATTTGTCAGTGTGTGCAGAATACAACTCTTTGTTCAGCTGCAATTGTTTTCTGCTTTCAGATGGCATTTGTCTATTTATAGTGGATAGTTCCAGATAGTTTGCTTCTATTAGGCTCTGTGATGACAGCGTTTTTGTTAGCAAACAAGACTTTAACTGGACTCTGCATGACAAATAGCATATTTATTGACTCAATTTATTTGAGTAAAGCACTCTTTCAAACAAGTACTGTTTTTCTTTTCTGACTTCTTTTTGAAATGAATTCATTAAATTCTCATTGATCACAGCCTATCATACAGGAATGATTTACTGGAGTCCGTATGTTATACTCTGCATTACCACTTGTTACAACAAGCAGGCCAAAAAAGAATAAGCCCTTCCTGGAATTTGCGTCTTCTAGCATTCTTCTTTATGTAGCCGTTCTCTTCATTCTTTTTCCCTCTCCTCCCTCATCAGCTGTTTTAAAAACAGGAAATTAGAAGCTTTCCCACAAGCTGAATTTTCATATGCTCACAGCTTTGCGATGGAGCACCATGTACACAGACAGAATATATCTTTCTACGAATGGCATCAAAGAAATCTCAGAGGTTTTTATTGCTGTTGTTTTTTTTGTTGATAGCGATACCTGTCACTGTGCTAAAGGAGACAACAAACATCAGTGGCCGATCGGTACTCCTGAGAAGGCACAGCAGGTCCCCTAAACTGAGAGGACATTACAGAGGGAGGTCAGCTGAAGTCCAGATAATCATGAGAGCGGAGAAGACAGTGAGTAGTCCACTTTTTCTCATAAGGAAACAATGATCAAATGACCGGAGGAATTTCAAAAGAAATTACAGAGAAGCAAGTCTGAAACAAAGCGAGCCACTTTCCACACAGCATAGAGTTATCCTGTAGAAGTTGTTCACACCAGCTGCTGTAGAAGTCAAAAAAGATAAAGATTCACAAAGCCATGAGACAAATCCAATGGCAAAAGGTTCATTAATGGTTTTAAACACAACAACACTCTGCCTCTGAGTAAGAAAATCCCTCAGCTGTAGGACCCGGGTGCATGCAAGAAAGACTACGTATGTTTTCACTACTTTTAAACTCTTCCTGGTCTACCAGCCTGAAGAATGCTGTGGTCTGATCTTACGTTTTCCTGTCCATATGTAGAACTCATGCCAATGCAAGATAGGCTCTTGGCTGGTCTGATCTTGTAAAGAATCAATACCACCAAAGTTAATACCCATAGCCATCTGCAGGTGCATCACCTGCTTCTAGTGCCTTGGAGGGTGGGCCAAGCAACATCCTCCAACCTATGGAAATACTCTTGTTACTGGAAAGCTAGAGCTTTATACTTTGCTTTAAATAGAAATATCAAACTGGGCTGTTATTTAATCACTAGAGAAGACCATGAGGATTTGCAATGAGGTCTCACTAGCCTAAGACTGGTGGGAGTGCAGAATTAGTCCATATAGCCCTCTTCTGACAACGAGTTGTGCTATGCTAGAGGAGGGCAGTGACAATTGCACTCGTGGTGAACTTGTGCACGGCCCCGTTCACACTTCATGAGCTGTGTCATGATGGGATGAGTGTTTCCGTTAGCCTGCCTCAGCCCAGCCACTTCTGCAGCCTGCTCTGTACAGCTGAGCTGGATGCATGGCCAAATAGCACGAGGGACACCAAGTACTTTGATGAGATAATAAGAGAATGTGTGGAACGTCTCTGCTAAGTGTGACAGTTTTCATGGGTGTTGCTTAATCAAGAAACTGAATATTCATAGAATATTCAGCATCCTTCTTAGAGTTCTTTAAAGACGTCTTCAAATACTCATTCTCACAACGGAACTCATCAAAATTTAAGAAAAATA